ATCTTTAAATACGTGTAATATTAAAAATAATTTTTACTAACTAATAATTATAAATTTATATGATAAAATTTAATATTAAAATTAAAAACTGGCAATTTTAAAATCCAAATTTAATCACTATTAAGTTTAAAAACTACAAAATTATTGAGAAAAGAAAAAATATATATGTTTATTCAATTCATTTCTTCATTGAAATTACGTCTGACAAGACAAAAGCTACAATTCGTCCGGTCATCTGATAATACATGTATATATTTTTTCTTTTCCGTTTTTATTTTAAAGTTTGTGAATATGGTCTTAAACTCACGCGTGACACAACAAAAACACAATCAGATTATAATACATAAGCATCCAGACATAATTAGATACATACACACACACACACACACACACACACACACACACACACACACACACACAAATATACACACACACTAAAAAAAAAAAAAAAAAAAAAGGAAGAGGTGGGGGGAATACAATATATATAATAATAATAATGGTTTCCAATGCTTCATCTAATACAGATTCAAGATAATGTTTACTAATAGCCGTCTGAATAGTTTTGATGAAAAGAACTAAAATATTTATGAAAGAAATATTAGTCAAATATTAATAGTTGTGCCAATGCTCCTTGTAATAAAAAAATTTAAAAAAAACTACAGATAATATTAATACTTGTTTACTAATCGCCGGTCAGTGATGGTCTGGATAGCTGTTTTGAAACATAACTGTAATTAAGATGGAAGAAATACTAGTCAAAAATTAAAAATGGTTGACAATATTTCATCCAATAAAAATCCCAGATAATATGACTACTTGTTTACCAGTAGCCGTAGATTGATGACCGAAATAGTTGTGATGCAATGCCACTGAAATTTAGATAAAACATGTACCACTAAATGTTTAAGAATTATTGACAATGAGTCATCAAATGGAAATTCAAAATGATATTTGTTTACTCATTGACCCTAGCGTAATGATGGAAATGGTTGCGCTGAAAAGGGACTAAAAATTAAGATGTAAGAAATACATGACAAAATTAATAATCATTTCTTAAAACTTCAAAGATAATATAACTGGTTGTTTATTGAATACTTTGGAATGAGGTTGTGAGCAATTGCGATGAGTATCACGTAAAATTAAGATGAAGGAAATACGTGACAATATTAATAATAATTTGATAAAACTTAAAAGTTAATATCACTTGTATGCTGAAGGCTGTGGGTGGCGTTGTGAGTAACTGCGATGAATATAACCTACGATTAAGATGAAAGAAATGCATGAGAAAATTAATAATAATTTCAGTGTAACATTTCATAAAACTTCAAGATAATAATTGGTTGTTTCCTCATATCTGGTTGTTTAATTCAAGGTATCACCTAAAATTAAGATGGAATGCGAAAATTAATAATAATTTCAGTGTAACATTTCATAAAACTTCAATATTTGTTTACTATCATCTTAAATTAAGATGAAAGGAATGTTGGTCAAACATCTTAATTGTCCTCACGTGCTTGTTTGCATTTAAAGAATAAACAAGCGAATAGCAAAAATACATTAGAATCTCTTGGAGTAGGTTCTCTCTTGAAACAGTTTAAAGAATTTTTTTTTGTGTGTGTCTGTGTCTGTGTCTCTGTAATGTGCTTGTCTGTGTAGACGCTGTTGTGCGGTGACTTTTATCTTTTATTGGTGGGGCTTCCTTGTTTACGTAAAGTTTTCACTTCCTGTCGGCTTCTACCGGAAACGAGATTTGCGCACACTCTTCACCGCCTGTAAACGATGCGAATCATACTAGCCTGTCCATCGCTCTCTCTTTTCTTTTAGAATTTTATAATATGTCTATTTTATTTTTTTCTTAAGAAATTACGTAATTCTAACCGAAGTGCGTCTACGCGTTTTGCAAATAACCTTTTTGATTGGACAATGGAAAACGAACTATAGAAAATAAGAAAGACGAAAATAATCATTTCCAATCTAAAGGACGCACTAAGCAAATTCCATTTCTGGGAACATAATCGCCACAGTATGGAGGTTAAAACTTTATATGTACTTCGCTACCTGGTGTAATTATACCATTCTGCCTCTAATTATCAATAGAAATGTTAATTAAACACTCAACGTTTGTCGCATTTTCCGCCTGGAGCAAATTACGTACAAACATGGCTGATTTCCCGCCATTTACTATGATCTTGAGAGCAAGCTGAATAATGTCTTCCACGCATTAATTGGTGACTACAGAATTTTTTTTATAACCCCTACTTTTGTTTTCATTTTCCTTTAATTCTATTTCCAGACATCTCGAAACTAAATTTAACACGATTTTTCAGTCAGTCAGTTATGTGCCATGCGTGATACACGATTAAGCGATCTTGTATCTTTCGATACATGACTGACGAGACAGATTTTTTTTCCCGCGGTAGGTTGCTATTTCTTTCTGCGGTAGACCAGTTGCCATCCAAGGCTATAGAACCCGGTCTGTCCTGCTATTTACCCATAGCTCATAATAATAGATCATTCCATCTTAAATCACAAAAACGTTTTGCGACAGTCTTTAACATCAACTTGAGGTTTTTCTTGTTAAAAGTCTGATTAATTTTAACACCTTCAATATTATCGATAAAAATAGTGAATTTTATAAAGTGTTTTTGGAGACTCAGCAAGAGAAAAATATTCACAGATTTAAACGAAATAAAAAAGAACTCTGTATGACGTGAAAATCCGCGAATATTTTGCATCTTTTAATAATCAGTTGTGCTTAATTCAATGTCTAACGTAGATGTCGGAAGAAAAAAAGGTAAAATTGATAAGATAGTGAGGGTCACAATGCCCTCTCCGGAATAGGGAGTAGGCGCCGGTCCTGAATATAAGAAATGAGATGATCTGGAAATTAAAAACATACAAAATAATTGGAAGTTTCAAAATCCACTCCTATATTTCAAAGACCTATTATATTAAGAACTTTAACTAAAACTTCGTAACTGCAGATTATATCTATTGTAAATACATTTATTTATGTAATTTACTGTCTTTGACTTATTTATTTTTAGAATTTAGTAAAATTTAAGCTAAATCCGTGACCTCTCCGAGTTCTAACAAGAGCAAATTGTTGGAGCTCGCATGGCAGGAACCTCGATCACTAAGGTTGCTGAACTGTTTGGTTTTTCGAGAGCTACCATATCAAGAACATTGATGCAATTCGAGAAACAGCGCAAGACCTCTAGCAACCGTAGCAATTCGGTCTGGACTTGCAAACTTACTGACAGGGACTGACGTGCATTGAAACGCAATGTGCCAAAAAATCATCGGAAAAATGCGGCCAAAGTGACTGCTGAGTTGAATAACCATCTGAATAGTTCAGTTTCTACTAAAACTGTTCACTGTGAGCTCCATAAGGCTGTATATCATGGAAGAGCCGCTGTGATGAAACCTCTTCTTTCCATTCGCAACATTCAAAAAATGTTGAAGTGGTACAGAGATCACAATGCCTGGAATGCAGACCAATGGAAGCAAGTCATATTCTCAAACAAGTCCAGTTTTTCTCTTTTCCCAAATTCAGGGTGAGTTTATGTGTGGAGGCAGCCCAAAGAAGCTTACAACCCTGACTGTCTTCTTCCAACAAAGAAGCATGGAGGTGGATCAGTGATAGTTTGGGCCGCCATATCATGGAAATGTCTCAGTCCAATAGTTGCCCTGCATGGTAGAATCAACAGCAAAGATTACTTGAACAATTTGAGAGATCATGTTCATCCAATGGCCAATACTTTATTCCCTGATGATGACTGCATCTTCCAAGACGATAATGCTCCAATACATACCGCTCGAGTGATTAAGAATTGGTATGAAGGGCATAAAAGTGAGCTAGAACACATGGAATGGCCTCCCCAATCTCAAGATATCAATATTATTGAACATTTGTGGTGCATTTTGGAGCAACAAGTTAGGAGCCGCTATCTTTCACCGTCATGTCGTAAAGTGCTCGAGAAGGTTTTAATGGAAGAATGACTGAAAATTCCTCTGGATGAAATCAGGAAGTTGTATGATTCCATTCCTAGATGTATTAAAGCTGTCTGTGAGGATAAAGGAGGACCAACTCAATATTAAATAAATTTTCTTTGAATTTACCAAGTGTTCCAATTATTTTGTCCAACCTCTGTATATCAATGATAGTTTTTAATCAAACACAGGTCCGACATAACTATTATTTGTTCCTCTTATTTCAGTTGTTTTATTATAATTAATTTAATAGTTAATTTATTATATGAAATAGTATCATGCTTATTAATTTTTAACTAGTACTTCTTTCATCCCAACTTCTGTTGTTTTTCATCATAAATTTTAAACTGTTATTAAGTACAATATAAAAGTGACATATTTCAACGATAACCTATGTGGCCCACATTTAGTGTCTCTACTACTACTACTACTACTACTACTATAATTAGCAGTTTGGTGTTTCAGATCAGTGAAGGGTTCTTGAACTGCTTCAAAATACTTGTTTCTCGTGATTCATTTCATCAGCATTTGAGTAGCAACAACCCATTTTTATAATAAAAAAAAGAAAAAGAAAAGACCACAGGTTTTAGATAGTTATTAAGGTGGGTGCCAAAAATTATCTGATGTTTTGGTCCATTTTGGGGAACATCTGCAATATAAGTGACTATAATTAACGAACATTCTCACCTTAACTACTAAAGATTTGCACAAAAGAAACAGTCCTGCATTTTACTATGTCATCATTTGTCATCTACACCTGTGTAAATAAATGCAACGAACTCGACCGGAAATCGAACTCTGCACTCCGATATCGCAATAGGAGCCGCTGTCCATTACTTCATCGTACCTCCTTTACTTGAATAAATATGTGGAGAGTGAGTAAAAGACGATGTTAAATACATTGTTTTTTTTTTATTATTAAGGGACATTTTTGTATCTATCTATTACAGTTTTTTTGTATCTTCTATCTAGCTATTACAGTTTTTGGATCTGTCTATCTATTGCAGTATTTTTCTTTCTTTCTATCTATCTATCTATCTATCTATCTATCTGAGTATTGGTATTACGGAAATGTAGCAGAGAAATACATTCCGAAACGTTTAGTATAAAAAAAAAACGTACTAGTCCTTGGTTCAATAATGAATTTAAGGAAGCTACCAGGCTCAGAAGAAGAGCTTTTTTATATGTAGAGATCTGTGCATAATTAGAAAATTGTCCACATATAGAGAGCTTCTCATTTCTGGGCTTAGAGTTTAACTATGGAGTCACTGAAAGAATGCTTCCTCGTGCAATTCTTTTTTCTTCATCTTGCAGTTCTGATAGCGTACTTCCTATACGGACTTGAAACCTTCAGTCTTTCAGGAAATTCCCTATGAATTGAATCATCTTTCATTTTAGATCCAGTTAAGCTCTTCTGCTGAGCCTGATAGCTTCCTTTAAACTCATTATTGAAGCAAGGTCTATTACGTTTATTTTGTACCGAAAGTTTCGGAATGTATTCCTTTGCTATAGATATATGCATTTCTGTAAACAGTTCTAAGATTTTAATGCATTGACCTTCAGCTAGTTTATCAGAACATAAGTTTTTAAATTCGTCGCAATTCACTCCGGCTAATTTCCAACAGTTGGCGAGTGATCACTACCGCATGTGTCCACCAGAACCTCCCAAGAGAAATCCATAGAGATTGATGGATCACATATGGATAAAGTTATTGCAGAGTAGTTGCCAGTAAATAGATTCATTTAGGTCAGAGTTTTATCTTTATAAATATCAGGTCATCCCATAAGTTCTGTCCGACTTTTGAATAAAGAAAACAAGTGACCAAATGTTACATTTAATTACAGATTCAATTAACAACCTATTTTCCCTGATTATCTATGACTTCCTTCCATCTATTAACAAGCTTACTAATTCCATTACTGTAAAATTCTTTTAGCTTTGATTCGAAGAACTCACAAATGTCAGTTTTAACCTCTTCCTGTGTTACAAAAGCTGTTTCTTCCAAATAATTATGTAAGCTACGAAACAAATGGTAGTCCGAATGAACAAGATCGGGAGAATAAGGTGGATGAGGAATTTTCTCCCAACCAAGTTCTTCGATCTTTTGTGACGTGATTCTTGCTGTGTGGGGTCGCGCATTGTCCTGATGAAACATCACCCTTTTCGATTCACTAGAGCAGGTCTTTTTCCTCAAAGCTTGGTTCAAACGCTCTAATTGCTGACAGTATATTTGAGCATTAATTGTTGCATTAGGAGGTAAGAATTCAAAGTGGATTATTCCTTGGCGATCACACCAGATTGAAAGAAGAACCTTTTTGCCCATGAAGTTCCCTTCTTGGCTGTGGATGGGGTCCTTCCCCTTTACCAAGCCACTGTCTACGACGCTTAACATTTCGATAAAAGATCCATTTTTTGTCGCCAGTCACAAGTCTATCCAAAAAAGGTGAAACAAGTTGGCGAGAATGGAGAGAAGAGCAGATATCAACTCGGGATTCGAGGTTGTTTACAGACAATTCCTGAGGCACCCATTTTCCAAGTTTAGGAACTTTTCCAAATTTTTGAAGATGACGATGAACAGTTGTATGGTTTGAACTGAGAACCACTGCCAATTCCTCAACTGATAAAGCAGGATTTTCTTCAAGGGCTGCTTCAAGAAGCTTTTCATCAAACTCAACTGTACTTACGATTCGATCTTCATCTTCAAGGGTGAAATCTCCACCTCTGAATTTTGCAAACCATCTTCTGCAAGTTCTTTCATTCACACATTTCTCTCCATAAACTGAGTGAATGTTTCTAGCCGCTTCGGCTACTGTTTCCTTTCTTGAACTCATAAAGCATTATGTGCCTCAATTGATTCTTGGGTACTTCCATGTTAGCAGGGTTTTAATCAAACAAAATTTAATTTTATTGTTCTCTGAAATAAAATTTGATCTGTTTAAATGCATCTAAACATAAAAATAATGTACAGCTCCATTATACATTAAAAAATACTCTTTAAATTTCGTTCATTTTAATAAAAAGTTAAAATTCGGACAGAACTTATTGGATGACCTGATAGAAAAATCATTATTATAATTGTTTCTAAAGTGTTTTCCCTTTTGGTTTGCGTCTTTATGTTGCTGTGACAGTTAAGGCCCCCTAGTATCATAAAGGGTACGGGAAGTTGCCTTATAATTTCATAAATTTCACCTTCATTTACTTGTTCATTAGGTGGGATATATAACGAGCAAATGTTTATTGGTCTATGTAAGGTTACTTTAAAAATCAATTGCATGTAAAATAGTTGTCAATTTTATTTTACTTTAGTGTACATCATTCCTAACTAGGACAGACGTATCGTCAGATGGAAGAAGCTCAGTGTTATGTGCATGGTTGTATTGTTGGTATTCTTTTATATTTATTTTGTCACCTTGCTTAAGGAATGTTTGCTGAAGGCAAACAACTGCCGGTGACAGGTCTGTTATTAACAGAAGCAATTCATTTATATTTGCTTTTATTCCAGGCCAGTTCCATTGAATTATCTTCTGCATGGCTGTTTAAACGTTTTTGACCTTTAGCTTATGTGGTTTTGATTTCTTTTTTCCTAGTTTTCATTTTGGAGGTTTTAGCCATTTGAGGATTCTGGCTTTTCAGCTCCATCTTTTCTAGTTTGTCAAGTCGGTTTTGCGTAGGAATTTGATCGTTGTGGATTTCCGGCATTTGTTTTGCTGATTATGTTTTTTTGTTCTGCTCTTTTCCGTCTGTCTTTCCTGAGATTTGCTGGACGGATACGAGATCGTTGTGACTTTCGTTTCGTCGCAGATTTGGTATTTTTGATTGGGAGTGGTTTTTGTTTGAGCTCTCGTTTTGCTATTTGTTGTTTTTTTTCTTTATTTATTATATCAGTTTTTTCATTGTCCTTCTTTTGCGGTTCAGCCTGCACCATTCTCTTGGAATATAGAACTTATAGGTAAGTTTGAAATTTAGGTCAGTCAACTGTACGAGCCTCTCGATGAGGGCTCTGTATTTGTCAGGCTGACCGGTATTATTTGTAGTCTGATTTTCCATTATTTTTGGAAGGGTCCTTCATATAACCTGCCACTTGCCTTCCTTCTAAAAATCAGATTTTCATTTATATTTCACCTCAATAATTTCTCTTTCCAGAAATTGCATGTCCTTGCGTATGCTGGATGGCTTTATTGACATTCATCCTTAGTATGGTCTGAATTCCTTTGGCCACATCTTCACGTGTTGGGCAACACCAGCATCTATCCCTATGATGCCCAGATTTTTGGCACCTAAAGCATCTTAGGGGAGCAGGGATACATAGTTCCACTTGCTCAATATTATACCCTATTTTTATTTATTCTGGTGGGGGGATTTCAGGTGTGCCAAAAGTAAGGAGATGTGTGTCAGTTATAACTGTTTTCCGTTTTCTTTTAATTGAGATTCTATGGTAATCTCTGACCCCTTGGCTTTCTAAGGCAGATGTAATTTCCTCAGGTGTAGCCAGAGACAACATCTAATGACTCCCTTAGAAGTATTCAGTCATGCATGAGTGGGGGGGGGTAATTTTGATGTCATGAAAGGTTTTCATCTTTATTATATATTCTGCATGTTTCCTATGTACCACTTCAACCAGCAAATTGTCGTCACTAAACTTTTTAATTGTTAGGATTAATGCTATTCGACAGTAGATTTTCAATCAAAGATGGAGAAAGTTTTACCAGCAGAGATTCTTCTCGGGATGTGGGCCCAAAAAGTCTTGTCGTTTTTCTATTTGTTTTTTCTTTATTTATTATTTCAGTTCTTTCATTGTACTTCTTTTGCGGTCCAGCCTGCACTATTTCCTTGAACTTTTTAGGTAAGTTTGAAATATGGGTCACTCATTTGGTCCCAAGTGTATGAGCTTCTCATTGAGGGCTCTGTATTTGTCAGGCTGAACGGAATTATTTGTAGTCTTATTTTCCGTTATTTTCACATAGGAATGGCCCTTCATGTAACCTACTACTACTTACCCTGGTTCTAAAAAGATGTTTTTCTTTTATATTTTTCTTTCACAATCTCCCATTCCTTTTCCCAGAAATTGAACGTTCTCTGGATGGCTTTCCTGGCAGTTAGTGCATCTTATTTCATCATGGCATTCTTTTTTCTGTATGCCTGAATCACTTTGGCTACATTTTCAGCATGTTGGGTAACTCCTGCAGCTACCCCTATGATATCCAAATTTTTGGCACCTGAACCATCTTAATGGGGCATGGATTTATAGTTCCACTGGTTCAATATTATACGCCATTTTTATTTGGGGTGGGGAGATTTCAGGTGAACCAAAAGTAGGGATATATATGTCAGTTATAATTTTTTTCCCTTTTCTTTTAATTGAGATTCTATGGTAATTGCTTTTCAGTCAGTCTTTCCTGGTTTTTGGTGGACAGTTACGAGATTGCAGTTTAGTAGGAGATTTTATATTTTTGGTAGGAATGGTTTGTGTCTGAGTTATCGTTTTTCTATTTGTTTTTTTTTTTTTATTTATTATATCAGTTCTTTCATTGTACTTCTTTTGCACTTCAGCCTGCACCATTTCCTTGGACTTTTTAAGTAAGTTTGAAATGTGGGCCACTCATTTGGTTCCAAGTGTACATGCCTCTCAATGAGGGCTCTGTCAGGCTGACCAGTATTATTTGTAGTCTGATGTTCCTTTATTTTCACAATAGGAAGAGCCTTTCATGTAACTTACTACTACTTGTCTTCTGAAAATTAGATGTTTCTTTTATATTTTATTTCGACAATTTCTTTTTCCTTTTTCCAGAAATCGTATGTTGAATGGCTTTCCTGGCAGTTAACACATTTTATTTCATTGTGAAATGCTCCTTCACCACAATGGTCTTTGGCTACATTTTCGGCATGTTGGGCGAATCTTGCAGCTATCCTTATAATGTCCAAAGTTTAGTCGTCTAAAGCGTTAGCGGGGGGGGGGGGTTGCGTCAAAGAGTAGTATAGGAAATTTTAGCGGTTACAAAAGCATTGATCTGGAAATTCTTGCAAAAATAAAAAAAAATAAAATAATTGTTGGATTTTAATGAAACTTTCAGGACTTATTCACAAATGAATGAAATTATTTTTGAAGTTTTTTTTTTAGAAAATATTGCTAAAGTATTTTTTACATATCTTATTCCTCACTTACTTAATTTTATGAAATCTCGAGAAATCAAATGTAAACCGTTTATTAGCAAAAAGCAGAACTCCTTGGAGAATTTAAATCATCATTTTTATTTTTATTTATTTTTTTTTTTTGTAAAACAGAAACAAAATTTACCGAAAATCTGCTCTAAATCGTAAATTTAATCTTTAAAAATCCTGTATTAATTTCATTCTTCTAGATGATATTATTATTAAGTAAAAATTATATTTGCCAATCATAAATCGTAAAGCTTATTACAAATGATCAATCACCAATATTTTTAACGGAATTTTGAAATTTTTTGTACGCGTATAAACGTGCCGATTTTTGTAGATACGGATGTTCAGACACGATGTTATTAGAAAATAAAAGCGATAACTAGAGTAAATCTAAAACGAAATAATCTATAATTCAATAAAACGAATATTTTCCTAAATTTCTAAGATTACTGAGTACAGAGAATTAAATAAAAAAAACTCACATTATTTTTCCAATTATGCTTAAAAAGATAAAGTCCCCAGTAGATCTCTTACCATTCTATCTAATGGTCAACAACTAAAATAAACAGCATTTGTCGGGTTAAAAAATGCATTTCTGCGATATTTTCAACTTAAAGTAAACAATATTTGTTTAAAATCAGATTACTTATACTTTAAATCAGCTAGTATGTTTGGAAGATTTTTAATATAGAGAATTATATTCTGATGGCACATCGCTAAATATGGTGCTAAAATAATAAAAACAAAATTAGTAATTTCAAAACGAAAACCCCTTCCAGTCAATTAAAATTAGTTTTAAAATACAGGAATCTATTTTTCTTATTGGAAATAGTAAATTTATTCAATTAGCTTGAAATTAAAATTAAATAAAAGCTTCATGAAATTTTTTTTTTTCATTTTTTTAAAGATAATTTTAAGCCTGAGGTGTCGTGTATCTGTGGCAGTATCTACTTAATAACTTACGCAATTTCTGAAAAAATCTTTTACTGTACTGTTGATATCCGTATATGCACACACACGCACACACACTCTCTCTCTCTCCTTCTCTCTCTATTTCTTTCTCTCTCTTTCTCTCTCTCTCTTTCTCTCTCTCTCTCTCTTTCTCTCTCTTTGTGCCCTGTTCCTAAAAAGTAGGTTTCTCCACAGCTTTCTATCTTTTTTTTTCATTATGCGTAATCAAAAAAGTTAACTTCCTGTTTCTGATTATCAAATTACGTTGTATGTCTTAAAACTTTCTGCTGAAGACTATAACACGTTGGAATACCGGTTGCCTCTACAATCAGCAAATTTAAGCAACGTCGAGCCTGGTCAGTGCTTAGATGGGTGGCCGCTGTAAGCTTGGATGTGTGGATAGTTTAAAGGATAACGGCTAGAAATTGAAAATCAGAGAACCGAGTTCCAATTCCAGCCGGATTCGTTATATTTACTTACGCTCAAATACCCTTACGAAAGGCATGGATCCACATTTCCACCCACTCCTATGGGTTAATTAGAAGGCCTTTGTATCAGTAAATTATTATGATCTTCACATGATGTTTGCAATCTAATACTATGTTCTGGCTTTAAATAACATGCAAAAGGTTGGTAAGACGTCATAAAAACGAATCAAGCAATCATTCAAACCTAACACTTTCTAATTTGTCGCATGCTTTGTCCATGACATTCTCAGTTTTCATCAGCAGTACCACAATTTGATTAATTGTTCTGTGGCATCAACGAACACTCGTTGCTACTTTCGTAATGCCCGTTGTAGTAGAGACTTTGTAATCGCAGATACAACTATAGTACGCCGTTGAACAATCCTGGTATCGAATAGCACTCGTACTAATAGCACTTGCTCGATAATACTCGCTGGAATAGTAATCCGTATAGTGATCTGAATAGAGAAATAGTATAGTGAATAGTGTAGAGAATAGCTGTCCATATAGTAATAGAGGATAGAGTAGAAATAGAGATTCGAGTAGTAATAGAGGATAGAACAGAAATGCAGATCAATAAGCTACACGCTCCCTCCCATATATGCGTTTTCTTTTATGGTCACGTGGTCTACTTTATTCAATAATGGGATCGCCTGTGTTTGCTCACTGGCGATCTATGTTCAAACTCATGTGTCGGCAGCGACACTTTATTCCTATATAACAAATTGAAATCTTTTCGTCTTTTATGACGAAAATCTCCAGCATTCCCTGCACTAAAGAAAGTTACCAGTCTAGTACTTTTTATCTCATTATAACTATGATAGCTTATTTATTAAATTATAGCACCGGTGTCTTTGCTTGGATATATGAAACAAATTCGGTTGTGGAAACCCCTAACATTGAATTTAATAATCAGCAATAAAACAAAG